TGAAGTTCAAAATGTATCTCTGAGAATGTAACAATATGATTCATGTGCTAATTTGCTATAAATTTTAACATGCATGTAAGTCACTCTCAAAAACGAAAGAGATTGAGTATTGAATAGTGTGATTTATGTCTTATTGTGATCTCAATTTGAATAAGCAAAGTGCGAATGCTCATATGTCATCGAGCATAATAAGGAATTTGTCGATGTAACTACAATTTTTGGTAATATAGTGTTGCATACCTCAATATGTTTGTTATGCCTTAGTTTGTCATTGATTTTTTTTGTGATATAGTGTTGCATGTCACTGAAACTAATACTAGATTAACTTTATTAATTTTATGTAACCTGTGTATAATAATACATAAATCCTCTGCCTTGGTCTGTGACTGTAAGCAAGTCCACATGACATTGTTCATCTGATTGTGAATGATGTAACTTCTTTTCAATGTTATGTAAATTGTGTGTGACAAGATGTAACTCATGTGCTCCACATGACATTGTTCATCTGATTGTGAATGATGTAACTTCTTTTCACTGTTATGTAAATTGTGTGTGACAAGATGTAACTCATGTGCTCCACATGACATTGTTCATCTGATTGTGAATGATGTAACTTCTTCACAATGTTATGTAAATTGTGTGTGACAAGATGTAACTCATGTGCTCCACATGACATTGTTCATCTGATTGTGAATGATGTAACTTCTTCTCACTGTTATGTAAATTGTGTGTGACAAGATGTAACTCATGTGCTCCACATGACATTGTTCATCTGATTGTGAATGATGTAACTTCTTTTCAATTTTATGTAAATTGTGTGTAAAAAGATGTAACTCATGTGCTCCACATGACATTGTTCATCTGATTGTGAATGATGTAACTTCTTTTCACTTTTATGTAAATTGTGTGTAAAAAGATGTAACTCATGTGCTCCACATGACATTGTTCATCTGATTGTGAATGATGTAACTTCTTTTCACTGTTATGTAAATTGTGTGTAAAAATATGTAACTCATGTGCTCCACATGACATTGTTCATCTGATTGTGAATGATGTAACTTCATTTCACTATTATGGCAATTGTGTGTGACAAAAATGTAACTCATGTGCAATATAAGGAGAACAAGAAGTGCTGTAGCTCCTGAAAATGAAACTCAGCATACAGAACATCACAATGAAACTGCAAGGATACTGAACACAGAAGAACCGATTCTAAGGCTAGAATATCATCAGCCAACAACAAGCAAAAAAAGAAAAGCAGCCCCAAAAAAGAAGAAAGTAGAATCTGAAGAATCAGACGATGAATATGAAGAAGTGGAGACAAGCAACAGGCCGCCTTCTGTAAATCTAAGAACAAGAGTAGGACCAGCCTCTTTCATAAAGTTGATTAACCAATTAGATGAAAGAAAAAAAGCAGCAGTTGAAAGGATTGGATTTGGGGGATTACTGCATTTAAACTTTGACAGATTCTGTGGAGATTTGGTTGCGTTTTTGTTGAAGAACTTTAGACCAATTTCAGGACAGCTACAACTTGCCAATGGTGAGCTGCTAGATATTGAAGATGAAGATGTCAAAGCTGTATTTGGTCTGCCAAAGGGAAAGATAGAAGTTCAAGAAGCGAATGCGAAGAATGAAACTGAAGAGTATACCCAACTGCTACAAGAATGGAGAGAAGAATGGGGGATTGATAAAGGAAGCCCTCAAACATAAAAAATGATTGAAAAAATAGTTGCAGATACTGACTCTGGAGACAGATTCATCAGAAACTTTGTGGTCTTTACAGTCTCTTGCCTGATCAGAGGAAACCAGAGTGTTAACAGCAATTTTAAAATATTGATGTCTTTGGTTAATGTAGCTGATATACCAAACATGAATTGGTGCAACTACACAATAAGATCGTTGATGGATGCAGGCGAGGAATGGCAAACTAATCAATCAAAGATGTTCAGTGGACCATTACTGTTTCTAATGATATGTTACTTTGACCGAGTACAATTCAAAGGCCAAATTATGCAGAGTGCTTATCCAACCATTAGAATCTGGGACAAGGAGAGAATTGACAAAAGAGTCAAAGATGAGAGAAAGGTGGGCTTTGGTCTGGGAAAGGTGACAAAGCGAATAATAACAGTCGAAGAGGAAGACAAAGATGAAGAGGAAGCAGGAAAAGAAGATGAAGAAAATGAAGATGCTGAAATGTTGTCAAAGGAGGTAAATTTTAATACAACACTTTGTGATCTTAAAGACTATTTTATGTAACTTAAATCAATTGTTACATAACTATAGGATTTTTCCAAGGAGCCTGTAATCTTAATTCAATAACTATGTATCTTATGTATTATTAAACAACTATTATTATAATTTTTATAGGATTGTGTGAAGGAGATTATAGCTGTGGCACAAAAGTTTAGTGATGCTTTTGTGGAATTCTCAAAGTTGCCGTCAACCATTGCAAAAAAGTTCCCAAATTCTGATATCTTGAAGAAGATATACTTGACCACAGCTGATTACTTCATCAATCAAGCAAATGGAAATCAAGCAAAAGGAACTCAACGATTATCAGAGAAGTGTGTCCTTGAGGAAGATGATGACTTCTTTAATGAGCCTGGAGTTATGGAAGCCCTTGAGAAACTAGAGAAAGCAGCATTCCTGAAATTTTCAATGCCTTCATTTGACATAGGAATTGAGTTTAACATGTCACAGGGTGAAGGCACATCAAAAGTGGATGTAGAAGCTGCGAAGACTGAAACTGCTCCTGATGTACAAGATGTGATGACTGAAACTGTTGATGGAGTGGAAGATGTGATGATTGACACCATTGCTGGAATGACTAAAACTGTTTCTGTTGATGGAGAAGTGAATGGTAATGTTGAAGTGGCTGAAGTGGCTCAAATGGCTGTTGAGGAAGAAGTGACTGGAGATGATGGAGAAGTAAACAAGGAAATTGATAATAAGTCAGAGTAAGTTTTATTTTTTTCTTATGTAATTCATCAATACTTTTAACTAATAAAATAAACATAACATTATATTATTTTTTACAAAGGAGTGTTGGTCTAAAGCCATATACCAGAAAGAGAAAGCTTCGAAAGTTAGGTGATTCAATTGTCAATTACAGATCACCTTTTCTGAAGAATAATAGAAGGCTATGCAAGGAATTTAGCAGAGATGAAAAGATTGTTCTTGATTGGGGATTCTCAAAAGAAGTTGAAAAGTAAGAAAAACTAATATTATATAATGTATTATTACAATATAAACACCATTTGATAATTAATTGTTTCAATTTGTTTGAAAAATATTATTCTGTTAGAGACTGTGTCTATATAGATGAGGAAGGTGTGTTTATAACTCATGAAGAAATTCAGACACTTCAAGAAGGAAATGTAGACAACTCAATAATTGATGCATTCACTAAGATTCTGAATGACAGAGAAGAATCAAATAAGTCTACAAAGCGTGCCTTCATTGCGTCAACCCAAGTATATGTATGTATATTTTTTTCTTGTAAAATTGTAAAATAAAGTAGAGAACTTCAGTTTCTATATTTTCCTAAGAGTGACTCAATTTGAATGTGCAGGCAATGTTTGATTTTGCATCTGGTGACCCAATAGAAAATATGGTTGATAGATTGCAAAAAGAAATAAATGATGCTGCAGCAGATGTCACAAAATTAGATATGGTAAAATGTCATTAATATTTAATTTTACATAATTCAAGTGTAAAAACACAAGTCAAATTTGGTAATCCTTATATATATATTCTTAAATGTAAATCAGTGTGAAACAATATTAGTAATAGAAAATGTTTAGCATAATATGTAACTGCAGCGTTTGACTAATGTAAGTTCTTATATGAATTATGTAAACTCTATTGTTTTATGTAAGTCGGTGTATAAGATATATTGTTAAAAATGTTTTTAAAACAAAGGGTGAAAAATAATACCGTAGTATGTAACTACAGAGCTGAGTGATGTAAGTTCTGATATGAATTATGTAGATTCTGTATTATTTTATGTAACTGAAGATAAATTTATAATAATGCAGATACTGTTTCCCATTCACAATCATGAGCACTATTATATCTACTGCTTTTACACAACAAACAACATTGTTGATGTAATTGACAACCGGATGCTTCCAGATGGGGTGAGCGTTGAGGACAAATATGGCAAAACTTTGAAAAAAATGGTAAAAATTCAATACAATGTTTTTGGAAATAAGAAATCATATTATTCCATATTATTTTAATTCATTAATGTTACTTCTTGTATAGCATGAAGGATTCAAAGCCTTCTGTGAGAAAGTGCAGATTTCAAGCACAACAAGTTGGGTCCCTAGAATCTTATACATGCCATGGAGACATAATAGCAATCACGTTGACTGCGGAGTATATACTTTGCGTCACTTGGAGACGTTTCGTGGGCAAGGACATGTATGGGATTCTGGATTTGCAACTGCTGCCACAAATGATGGAATAAAAGCTCAAAATGAAACAATCCAAAAGATGAGAGTGATGTATGCAACTCAAGTTTTACTGTCAAAATTTAACAAAGAAAGGGAAAACATATTGAAAAAAGCAAAAAGACTACTTGAAGATGTAATTAATTAATATGATGGGGTTACAGTCAAAACATTTCATGGTTTTATGGAGGGTGTGGTGGTATGCGTTATGCTGTAGTTATCTGTTTGTATGCAGTAGCTTGTAATGCAGTGGTATGGGTTTTAGACATTTCTTGGTTTTATGCAGTAGCTTGTAATGCACCTCAAAAGTTATCTGTTTAGTATGTGGAAAACTTATATGTTGGATTATGATAAGTTGATGTAAACTAGTTTGTTTTATATGTTTTATGTCGAATCCAACGGCTGAGATTCATTCTCACTTCTCACCTAAAGCGTTCTTCTCACTTTATATAACTTATGTACACTTGCATTAGCTAATCAAGTAATACACATCTGATGTAAACAACGAGTACAACAAATGTAAGTCACGTTAAAGAACTATGTAACTGAAGGGAAAAACAATGTAACTACTGTTACTGAGCTGTGACTGCACAGATTACATTCTGTAATATAAATAAATGTAAACAAACTTGATTGCGTCTTGTATTTATGGCAATGCTGTATGACATGTAAACAAACTGTAAAGACAATATAAATTCTATAAAATCAAATGTAACTCAAGGTGCAACAAAAGTAAAAGTTCACAATATGATATGTAAACTCCTCAAAGCATTTGGTTTTCCAAACATGTGTGACTATAACTAATTCTGCATTTGGTTCAAAGCATTGGATTGCATGAAGTATGGAGCAAAAACTTGTGGAGATCCAGACACATGCATTAAAGACGTCATTCCTCCAATTGGATGAGCAAGTACATAACCTTGTGGAACCATGAAATTAACAGTGTCCTACAATCAAACAAAACAAAAATTAATGATAAGAAAATATGCATAAAATACATAAAAAAAATAAACAAATACCTGTACAACAGATTGAGCAACTGCTTTTGAATTGGAGGCAACATTTTGGGATTTTGAACGGCGAGCTTTGACTATTTTGCACTGTTTCTCAACAATACTTCTCTTTCGGGTATTTCGCTGACCTTTAGAACGAGACCGTGGAGGATCCAATATTGTCCTAGAAGCAGATTCATCCACAACAGAAGCATCTCTTTGTGCATCTAAAAAATGTTTAATAGACTCGTATCCTTGATCACATACTCGTCTAGCTTCAGGAAAACCAGCACTTGCACTCAATACTGAGTTGAATTTCCTAGTCATTTGCACTCTCCAAACAGAATCTTCCAATATTTTGCCAGACATAATATCGGTTCCGTGCGTAACAGAAAGATTAACATTTGGCAGAATGGCAGCCTTTGTCCATCTAGAGAGTATATAAACTTGGGGAATACATTTGACACAATGCACATTATATATACGCAAAATGTGTCTACAAAAAATGCCAACTTCAGAAAACATCTTACAAGTGCATGTCACTGTGTTGTCATGCCGATTAAAAGTAACACTGTGTCTAATCATATCTACCCCATTCAACCAAACATGATACACATAGTCATGACAATTCTGTGAGATTAATTTTAAAAAATGTGACATACCCTTCAAATATTGTTCTTGGAACACTTTGAAAATCTCAAGGGTATACACATCTCTCGCATGAGTCAACAAAGTGTCTTGTAGCAATACCATCTCAACGGTGCCTTCAGAACATCTAAAATCATGACCATTCTCATCTAACCTCCATTCATCAACAACATCACAAAACATTTTGTAAAAATCACATAATGTTGCAGTCTTGGTAAGTCTTCTAGATATAGATCTATTTGTAGATTCACTTCTTTGAGAGGATAAAACACCACCAGAGAAGTAATCCTTCGAAAAAGCAGGACACCACTTTTCTTTATGACTGTACAGCCTCTTCAACCATGTGTTGTCACTGCATTCATAAACTGTATTCAATCTGAAACAGATATGAAAACAAGACAAGATTACATATGAAGATATATATGTTACACCAAATGATTGAAAAAGTTACATAAAATAATCACGAAGTTACATCAGATAACAATAACTTACTCATTCCAATAGAAATCAAACTCTGCAACAGTATCACATCGTTTGACAACATAATCAAAAAGAGAAACAAAATTTATCTTCTTGCGTAGATGCATGATGTGTTTCTTTGAATTCTCATCTATATGCCAAGTGCAGAGTCTATGTCTCGCCCCAGGAAATACATATTTGATAGCCGTTGCCATGGAAAATGACTGGTCTGTCATGAAACTGATGGGGTGTTTACCACCCATAGATTTCAGAAAAGTCTGAAATAACCAAACAAAAGACTCCACCCTTTCATTTAGAATAAAGCCACAACCAAACATTATATTTTTACAGTGGTGATTCATACCAATAAATGGACCACAGATCATATCATACTTGTTAGTCCTGTAAGTTGTATCATGCACAACAAGATCTCCAAACCTCTCATAATCAGATCTCATTTGACCATCTCTCCAGAAAAAACAAGTCAGTATACCATCAACCAACTCAAAATCAAAGAAAAAATCACATTCCACTTCAGCCCTTTTCTTAAATATACCAATCAAAGTGTTCGAATCAGTACCATCAAACGTTTTACTTCTTTCAGATTCTAGAACGTTATAAGCATCACGTTTCGTGAATCCAAGAGCACTAACACCACCAGCCTGTTTTTGAAGCATCCTGTGAACATCTGAAACCTTTGTTCCACTCTCCTTCATCAACATAATAAATTCAAGATACTCACGATCAACGCCTCTATGTGATTTCAGCAGGTGTCTTTGACCAATTGCACAGAAAGCATGGTTGTGATCAATAATATGCTTTGAGACAGTCCATTCACCATCACAACTAATAGAAAACTGTAACATCGCTTTACAACCAGTACGATAATCTAACTTGGTATACATTTTGTTTTCGGTGCCCTTTTGTAGTTTCTTCCCTTCTTTCCAACAACAATAAGACTTCATAGTCAAACTTACATTCCCACTCCTAAACCTCTGTCTGCATCTACGAATACCAAATCCATTTTCAAAAGCATGATCATTCTAAAGTTTGTAAGCATCCTGTTCACAATTGACACTAAGCCCAACAAGTGATTTACTCTCAGTTGACTGGTGAACATTTTCCAATGAATCTGCCAATTTATAAAGCATATATATGAAAAACAATCAACAACTACATACGGTCACAATGTTACATTAAATTAAACAACAGTTACATATCAGAGAACACAAGTTACACACATTTGAGACGCGAGTTAAATACCATCGAACGGAATTACAACCAAAATGAAATGAAGTTACATGACAGAATAAATACCTCTGCTAAGAAGATATAACAATTTAGAAGCTTTTGAAATAGTATCTTCTTCTCCTGAACATAAAATCAAAACTATGAATACTCATACAATCGAAATTCTCAAGCAATGGTATAAAACAGAGAACATGATCAACTTCGAAAAACATGAAAAATTCATAAAACATAAACCAGCTAATCAATTCATAAAGCACGAAAAATTTATACTTACCAATCAATTCAACATCAACCAGCTGATCAACTTCGAAATCATTATCATTAATTGAATGATTAATGTTATCGTGTGTATCAGAAGCAAAAAGAGCAGAATCGTCGACAGAAAAATCCATCTAAGAACCTTAGAAACGAATCGAAGGGATCGCAGAGCGGAGAGAAATCAGTTATCATGAGCTGCAGGTTCGATTAATGAAAAGAGCTGATCTAATTTTTTAATAAGCAAAACGACGCCGTTTACGACCGGTATACCATGCGGATGGTAGACCGGTCGTAGGGTATAATTTGCGTATAATTATAGTTTTTTTATTGGCAAAGGTATAATTATAGTTAAGACACAAAAAAATCAACTTGGTCGAGTGGTCAGTTGAATCGGTGTTAGCTGAACTTGCTTGCAACAGGTATCGATTCTTGGCGATGGATCGGGATTTCCCCCTTATGGTTTGAGTTTTTCGGTTCTGAAGTAGACTCCATTATGAATGAGTAATTCTTGGCATAAAATTGTGCTATTTTTTAAAAGAATTGCACGTGTACAAAGACAATTAGAGCATTTGTGTACAATTTATGTACTAATTTTGTGTACAAATGTAATTTTTCATTATGAATTGAAGTCATCTAATTTGTTTGACAAGTGACATCACTAAATTGAGTGTGTATACCGTGCAACGGGTGCATGGTGAGCACCATGCACCCATTGGATATTATTTTCTTTTTTTTTTTTAAATGGTAATAACTTTTTTATTTTTGATCCAATTTTTATAAAATTTATATCAACATTTTTTATTTTTCATGATCTTTCAAATGAGACCAATATTGCCTATGTAATTTTAACATATTAACATTTGCGTGTAAAATATGTAACTTTACGTGTTAAAATATGTAACTCACGTTCAGTCAGGCCAAATGCAACTCGTGTGTATAAATATGTATCTCTACGTGTAACAATATGTAACTTTACGTAAAAAATATGTAACTCGCGTTCAGACAGGTCAAATGCAACTCGTGTGTATAAATATGTAACTCGCGTGTATAAATATGTAACTTTACATGTAAAAATATGTAACTTTACGTGTAAATATATGTAAGTCGCGTTCAGGCATGTCAAATGCAACTTGTGTGTATATATATGTAACTCGCTTATAAAAAGATGTAACTTGCTTATAAAAAGATGGAACTCGCTTATAAAAAGATGTAACTTGCTTATAAAAAGATGTAACTCGCTTATAAAAAGATGTAACTCAATGTATTATCAAATGTAACTGAGGCCACTGATCCACTCCCAAACAGATTCGATCTTCTATTTCACAAACCTATCATCTCCCAAACAGATTCGATTTTCCTTATAATCCAATACTCATTAATATAATAGTTCGATAATTTCTTAAAATTACGTAAGCAATATTGGTCTCATTTGAAAGATCATGAAAAATAAAAAATGTTGATATAAATTTTATAAAAATCGGATCAAAAATAAAAAAATTATTATCATTTTTTAACTACAAAAGCAAAAAAAAAAAGAAAACTAGGCATAAGGTGCGTCAGTTTTGCAACCGGGCACACCATCCTCATGGTGCGCCGGTTGCACGGTATAATTTGCCCACTAAATTCATTTTTAAATAGAATCTCGGTCACTTTTATAAAAATGAGTAGATGTTATGAGGCCATTGCTTTGAATTACCAATAATTTACAAGATAAAATACATGAAACTGAACGTAAATCAACTCTACACATGTTTGAAAACCTTGAAAAAACTATTGGGATTAGCTACGTAGTCGGCCCTACTTAGAGCATCTCCAATGCTAAAATGTGCACAGTGCACATGTGGCATTAAAGATGACCACATAAAGATTGATAAATAAATTATCTCTCTCCTTATTTGAATGATTTTATTCAATTTTGGTAAATTTTTTTAAATTATATGAAAAATAGATAAATTGTTCCTCTACAACAACTTCAGTCAATACAGTCAGAAAAGAAACTTCAACCTTACTTTTTCTTATTATTATACAATTCAGCGCGTGAAAAATATGGTCACCAAACGGGCTCTCAAAAGCTCAACTTATTGAATGCCTTAAGGATCAATTTAAAATGTAATTCATAATGTTAGTCCTTGTTTTTTTAGTAAATCAGAATTTCATATACAATTGATCGAAGATTAAAGAATAATTTTAAATACAAGTTTAACGTGTTAATGATCAAATATTATACACATGGAATTACTATGCTACATCAATACAATGAAGAGGATATTAACCTATCACAAAATGCATTTCGATTTTGCATCGATAGATTTTTCGGTGTTCGATTTGAATGCTCGATAAACATGTTTGAATGTAGAAGTATAGAATATGTCTGTTAATAAATTAATGTTTGAATTATTCAATAAATATTCAAATCTATAATAATTATTAATAAATTTATAAAATTGCGCTAAAACGTTTATAAGTGAATATATAACGGTTTACGTTTCTTTGTTATGAAGCATGAGTCGGTCCCTGCATTTTTCGACTCGATTTCACTATGGGTCATCCGGAAACAGATTCTTTGTCATGTACAGAGGTAAGACTGCGTACATTCGACCCCTCTTACCCCATCGTAGATAATGATGATGATGTTTATTCCTTTAATTTATAAGTGAATGATAGGCTCGAGTCTGAATCAAACCAATCATCACTATGCAAGAACTTGACTTGAATAACTATTTGAACTCAAAATATAATCCGCATTCGAGTTCGGAGCTCGTTAAGCTTGGGTCATTAAATTGGACTTGAAAACAAGACCGAACTTAAGTAGTTCGGACAATGTGCGGTTCGTTAACAACCCTGAGTTAAACCTTATATGTGCGGTAGCAATTTTTTTACTGCTTATCCTAACTGAATCGGTGCCCAGACCATTCTAGTTTCGACCGGTCTAGGATTTTGAACTGGGTCCACCCTGGGATATTAGTCCTAGGGGTGGGCATGGGTCGGGATGGTTCAGGATTAGGGTTATCCCGGTCCCGTCCCAATTAATAATAATGGGACGGGACAGTACGTGACAAGCCTTTGTCCTAGTCTTGTCCCATTTAAATCGGGACCGGGATGATTCGGAACAGTTCGGGACGGTTCGGGACGTCCCAAACTAACAAAAAATAATCATTTGTAACTAATATATATTAGCATTTCTAAAATATCATGCACCAAAATATTAACATTTTAAAAGTTAATTGATGTTCATCACAAGCTAAAAGCTACTACGTATTAGATTTTAGTTAGGTTTAGCAAAATTTTAAATTTAAATTTAAAACAAAGCAAAAATGAATTAGTTTATTCAAAATCATGTGTTCTAGTTGTGAGATACTAATATGTAGATATATAAAGTGAGGTAAAAACCTATGTTAGTAAATATTTATGTTAGGTATTATTTTTAATTTAAAAATTGGACTTGAAAAACTAAAAACATGTTATCATTTATTTTTTGAGTTGACATTACAAACTAGTCACATATAACAAAATCTATATAGTTATTACAAACGGGACAACGGGACGGTTCGGGATAACCTTCCAATGTCCCGGTCCCGTCCCGTTTTAAACCGGTACGGGGTCGGTGCGGGACAAAATCAATGAGACCCAAACGGAACGGGACAACACCGGTACGGTTTCGGGATATACCGGAATGGGACAACGGGACCGGGATTCTTGCCCGCCCTTAATTAATCCTTCTACATCCCAAGTGGAAAGTTGGAAACATTTGAGGCATGTATCGGTTGAATTCTTGATTTTATGTCATCAGCACACGATTCTTCCGTTTCTTGCACATCCAGGTTTAGACCAAGTAAAACTGCAGACGGTGGCTTGCTTACTCATGATTAATAATGCACTCTTACCAGTTACCTCTTATTTTGATACGTAATGGGATCTTTCATTACATGAATTTTGTGACAGGTGTGCTAAAAATAAAAGGGAAAAGTACGGAAAAAGTACTTGTGGAGTCCGTTTTCAGATAGGGTCATGTGTTTCATTTAGAAGTGGTTCATGTGTTTGAATTCCGTTATCACAAGAGGGTCACGCCAGTGGCGGATCCAGAAAAAAATGTTATTGGGGGCATCATTTAGAAGGTTTATTACAAATATTTTTCGAATACATATCAAATTTAAAATCAATTTCATAGTTAAACCTTTTATATCTTAAATATTAAGCTCAAAACTTGTTTATATACACATATATATACATAAATATATTTAATAAACAATTACATACTATGTATTTTTGACTAAAATAAAATTACTTTACAAAAATCTAACCTTTAAGTGTACTGGTTATTTACATTTAAGAGCTCACATTTTTGTAAAGTACCTTTATTTTAGCCATAAATATGTAATTGTTTTTTGAATAAATGCACACATATATTAATGTGAGCTTAATATTAAAACATACTCCGTACATAGTATAACATTATCATAATAATATATGTTTATT